CAATGTATTTTTATTCCAATGCATTCCTAGTTAGATTGAATCTGATTAGATGACAATCTTATCACAGAAAATAAATCAAGGAGCTGGGAAAGTTCACCCTTTACTTTTTGATTAAAGCTCCCCTTCCTAGCTTTTCCATTGCCAATTCAGGCTTTCTGGAAATCATTAAATTAAGCGTGCAAATCTAAGACTAACTAGTTCTGCTCTCAATCTTGTGTGAATAACGTAGATATTGTTGGAGGTTTCGGCATGTTCAGCACAGTTGCCTGCAGGAAATGTGATGTTAAGCATAAGGTAGACCCCTGCTCCATATGCTCTAGAACTCTGATGGCTATATACTACTTCTAGGATTGCAGTGGAGTAGGCAGCAACATTAGGGATCTTCCTCTACAGCTGAGTTGAAGTGGTGTCTACATTATCCTGCCTCTATTGCCTCAATTCCCAGGCACTCCGCATACCTAACTTTTTTCAGAGGAAATGGGTGACAAAGCCTAACAGATTTTATAAAACTTACCCAGTGTCAGAATAAGGATTAAAATACTCCTTAAACACTGGTACAGTAAGGATGACTTCAACCTGTCTCAGTCATGGGCTGGGGGCTAGTTGAAGGCAACATGGTGGGACACAGCAGGAAAAAAAGGTGTTGCCATAATATACAGTATTTGTGCTGTACAGGTAGTCCCCAGGTTAAGAACTTCCAGGTTACAGACAACCTAACATTAAGAACGGAGCCTACTGTAGCAAAATTTGAGTTAAATACACAATGATTTGACTTAAATACACAATGGTTTGGGTTCATTACACAATACTACTTATACAGTATTATACAATAATACTGTTCTGGCTTACATACAAATCTGACTTAAGGACAGACTTGTTCTTCAACTGGGGACTACCTGTAGTTGGTGCAAGGGTGGAAAGGTCTTATGGGAGACCTATATGTCTCCTTTCCTGCTTCCCAAATGGTTCTGTTTGACACAGAATATTGGGTTAGATTGGCCTTTGTCCTGAACTATCAGAGTCCTTCTTATGATCTTATACAGTGTAATTTTTCCCCCATAACAGGTTTGGATGAATGCCTCTCCATTCCTGTTCCCAGCCCAGACTTTGCCCAGCTTCTCCTCCTTTGATACGGAAATGTTCTCATGTCCTACATTTTAATGCTGATTCAGGGCAAATTCAGGGCAATGTGCAGGGACAGAAAGCTGGCTTCAGAAAATGCACCATCCTATTTATGCGATGATGTTCAAGATCACCTGCCACCTTTGCTCAGTCTCCAACACAGGGTCTTGCAACATACTGCACAATTTATTTTAATAATTAAAAACAAGTTAATCCAGTCCATAGTCCCAAGAGGACAATGTTTGCATGAATGCAAGAACTGCAAAACTTCCAAGATAAAGAGAGAGAAAGTGAAACTTAAGGAGGCATGACAAGCAGCATGAAGTCAGAAACAATCTTGTCATGCTTTTACATGGCTTTCTAGTGAACCTATGCTTTAAAAAGGAGCTTTCCTCCCAGCCTAACAAATTCTAGGCCTGTATTCTTAGATCATATGTTATCAATACATAGTTAGGCTTAAAAGTTTGTGAACCCTTCTGAATTTTCAATATTTCTGCAAAAATATGACCTAAAATGCAATCAGTTCTCCACATAAGTGCTAAAACTAGATAAGGAGAACCCAATTAAACGAGTCAGTCAAAAACATTATACTTGTTCATTTATTTATTGAGGAAAATGATCCATTCCTCTGGCTATTTTAGAAGGGGGGCATACCTTATTGTAACCACACCTGTTGATCTATTTAATATGCAAAAAAGAATTTGGTGCAACCTAGAATGCTACCTCCTTCCATTCTGTTGCCATTTCTTCTATGTTCCTTTTCTCCTTTCATCTTTCCCTCCTAGTAAGTTTCATTCAAGACTGTATACACAGGGAACCCATCTAAAAGCAAAGCAAAGGAATAAATAATAAGTCAGTTATCTCCCACCTATACAACAGCTATCAATCCTCAAGATCACACGGAGTTAGCTACTGAACCAAGACTATCCAATACAACCAATTCACCCCACCCTGACTCCTGATTAGATTAGAATGTGACATAAGGGGAAAGTAGATTACATCCAAATGTAACCAAACACTGCAAGAAAATTCCTTCAGATGTATTTTATTAATTACTATTATTATTCATTCTGAACATTTCCATCTCATCTTATGCCAATCTGGAATCACAGGAGATGTTGGCTCACAACAGTATTTTCCAAGCTCACGAGTGCTGTAATTCAAACTGGCTGAAATTCTCTTCCAAGAGTATTCACATGCAAAACCTCCATTTATTGTAATGGTATTCAACTGCAGTATTATTTCAAGCTATATCCAGAAAACTGACTTTAGGTGAATCGGTTAAAAATAATCAAATGGTGAGTTGGTTTTCAAGCACCATTCTTACTTAGACATGATGTTGAATTTAACAAGGGAAGAAAGAGAAGAAGAAAGAGACATGGATTTATGTGAAGTCCTTGGTGCTCTCTGAACTTGGTTGTTTGCTTGCAGACATTTCATTACCTGACTAGGTAACATCTTCAGTGCTAGTAAGTGTGGGGTTTGGTCCCTGCTTATGTACTAAGCCATAATGTGGTTTGGTTGGTTTTGACTTCACATGTTATGTAGGCTTTTTTTTTAAGCAAAACATTGTTTTAAAAAATTATGACTTAGCATTTGGTATGAAACCAATTAAGTGATAGGATTAAAATGGTGAATCAGGTAGTACTTTATAAGCTATTTACTTATTGAACACATTTGTACACTCACCCAACTCAACCAAAGTGACTCTGGGCAGCTTACAAACAATCCAAGAGAACCTAGCAAAAAAAATAAACAAAACCACAATACAGAAACCAATTAACAATAACAAAATGGTGGTCCAAACAGAAAGGAAACCATCACGTAATCAGTGCTCCAAAATATCATGACCAAACCGGTTGGAGAAAGAGCCAGATCTTGACAGCCTTTCTAAAGGCCAGCAGGGTCGGTGCCAATCACAGGTCAGGATAAAGGTCATTCCATAAGATAGGGAAGTCACCACTGAGAAGTCACATCTCCTGGGTCCCACAAGACAACACTGTTTCAATTAAGGGATCCAGAGTGCACTCTCCCTATCAGTGTTTGGGGCAGTCACATAGCCTAGGAAGAAATAGTAAACAGTCACGAGTCTGGTAGGTAAATGACTGGAGAAGTAACAGAAGAATTCATGTGGATAATTGTTTTTAAGAGATTACAGCCACCATGATTTTAATTCAAGCAATTCAAAGGATACGTAAAGGAGCTTAAAAAGTGTATATTTTATGATAAATTCCAGTGACCTCGCCCAACCAATACTCTGAAGAAATTTCCTTAAGACCATAATCGTAGGACAGGATCTTGACTGTTGTAACCTGTTTAGGCTTTTTTCATGTTAATCTTAAATAGAAAAAGGACAGGAAAAATTACTCATATCACCTGGTTCCCATGAAATACTGAACCTCACTCAATGATTTCTGTTTTAAATACAAAAACCAAAAACCTCTCATCTCTACTGGCTTCCAGCACTAGTTATAACAGAAAATACTTCTGATTTTTTTTTTTTTTTT